AAAAAAAAAAAAAAAAAAAAAAAAAAAAAAAAAAAAAAAAAAAAAAAAAGACAAAACAAGGGCTAGGGATTTAGCTCAGTGGTTCTGCCACCTGCCTCACAAGCACAAGGTCCCGGGTTCGATCCCTGGTACCCCCGCCCCAAAATTAATATGTTGCTGGGTGTGGCGGTGCTCTCCTGTGATCCTAGCATTTGGGAAGCTGAGGCAGGAGGATCACTGCAAGTTCAAGGCCAGCCTGAACTATATAGTGAGAACATTGTTTCAATAACTAACTAACTAAATAAATAAATAAAAAGTATTTTGCATCCCAGAGAGTAGCACTCGATCTCTTCCAGGTGTACCCTAATGAGGCCAGAGCACAGCCACCAGCTGCCTCCAGGACATGGGGCAGGGAATCATCATCTTGGTTGGCATGTGCATGTCCCTGGTGGAGGTCACTGACGTCAGTGACAGGGCCAGCATCCTGTAGAGTCATTCTGAGCTGCATGCTGGGCCTCTTCAGGTGGCAGTCGCCATGGGAACAGTGGCCTGGACACCGGATCTGCGTGAGAGCAGGTGATGGTGGCGACAGAGCCTGAGCAGAGCTTCCACGCCCACCACCAGGGCCACTGGTACACAGTTCCCGAGCACACGTGGTGGGAGAGGGCTGCATCTCAACCCGGAGATCACTTTGTCCTTCCTCCTTACTGTGGACCACTGTTTCCTTGTGGCCTTTGTTTTTTCCAGTGCCAGGGACAGAACACAAGGCCCCATCGTGCCAGGCGTGTGTTGTACACTGAGCTGCACCCCAGCCCGCTTTGTCCCTGAGGTCGGGCACCACAGTCGGGAACCCCCGATGCCACAGTTCTCACTGAGGTCAGGGAACCCAGTGCCTTCCCTTCATCCAGTGACCACAGTCACCAGAGCAAGGCATCCACACTGGGGGCCATCGAGGATTGAACAGCTTGGCAAAGGGAGTGCTTGGAACCTCTGAAGATGTGCAGCCGGAGCTGAGGAGGCCGCACATGACAAAGCCAGTCCAGAGCTGTGAGCTCCAGACTTCTGATTCCCTCAGATGCCAGGGAGGTCTGCTGCCTCAGGTTTACTCGCTGTAGGCTACCATCAAGCCCGCCCTTAAGTAATTAACCAGCTCGCAGAAATCCCAGGTCTTGGATGAGCACTGCGGCTCGGGTTTGGCCCAAGGGAGCCCTACATTCTACCCTCCCAGCCTCCCTGCACTGCCAGGGTGGCCTGGCAGGGCTGCCTCTTTGTGGGCAGTCTCGGCAAGGGCTCGCACTGCCTCTCGGGCGGCTTCTCCGGGATCTAACTCACCATGGCCCGGGCCGAGGAGGACGGGCAGGGAGGACACTGAGCTGATGTCCCATGTCCTAGGAGGGGGACACAAGACAGGTTATCTCTGCAGACAAGGGCCGAAAATTCAGCACATTCAGCCTCGGTATCTTCTCAGGGTCTCTGTCCCTGCCCAGGGTCCCCACTCCCGCCAGGCCTGGCCTTAGCATGAGAGACCAGGAAGGCTGAGCGTCTAATCAGCACTGAAACTCGGCAACCCTTCCAGTGACATCTGGGCCAGCCGGCTGTCACCTGTGCCCTGGGTCTGTGGGAGGTAAGGGACGTCCCCACGTTGCCACCAAGAGCTCTGGCTGCTCATGCCCATGCTCTGTCAGACGGGGAGAACTGGTCGTCCTCTGTGAGCCTCACTCCTCATCCAGGAAACCAGGAAATGGCCCCAGGGACAGGCGCCTCCCTATCCAATAACCCAGCACAAATCCACGGCTGGCTTCTTAGGGTTAATCAACGTGGATCTGGACTCTGTTTACCCACTTTGTATACCAGCAACAGCAGGAAATCACAAATCAGAACAAATTGGCCTCAAAATGTCAGTGTGTGCACCACAGCTGGGGACAGGACCTGGGGCTGCTGTGGCTCCAGAGTTGGGGTTGGGCAGCCCCATCTGTTCAGCAGGTGACTGCAAGAGATCTATCCTTGAAAACCAAAGACACCGAAAAATCAGCATAAACCAGCTATGGTGGTCCATACCTCTAATCCCAGCTACCCAGGAGGCTGAAGCAGGAGGATGGCAAGTTCAAGTCCAGCCTGGATAACTTAGTGATTTAGCAAGTCCCTGACTCAAAAAATAAATAAATAAATAAAAGGGAATGGGGATATAGTTCAGTGTGAAGGTTTTGGATTCAATTCCTAGCACCACAAAAATGAAATGAAGAAATGAAAGAAAAAGAAAAATTAGTTAATATGTACACTCCTGATTTTATGTGTACCCAAAATTTAACATACCAGGTTCCACACTATATTATTTCTGTAATAGGTCCTGTGACAGGGCTGGGGATTTAGCTCAGTGGCACTGTGCATGCCTTGCAAGCATAAGGTCCTGAGTTTGATCCCAGGTATCAGGAAAAAAAAAAATTACATGACAAACATAGTTCACAGTCATCACATAACTTACTTCTGTGACTTCCCTGGGAGGCCAGAGCCCTGGAGGCCGGGGACCTGTGTCTGTGTGCCAGCCCTTGGCCCTGGGCACAGCTGGGTGTGCTCCACCAAGGCCTGGGTGGAGCTGCGGTCAGCCTGGACCCCTCGAGTCTATGAAGAATCATTCTGTCAGTGCTTTGTGCTGCTATTACAGAGTACCAGGAACTGGGTGATTCAGAAACAAAGGAGACGTCTAGGAAGATAAGCGTGGTGAATAGCAGGGAAGCAGCCTCTCCAAGATTTGGTGTCCAGATGCTAGAATAGAGCAATGTGAGGAAGAGAGAAAAGGAGGGTCCCCAAGATGCAGCGAGGACAGGAAGTGAGAATTGAAGCCCACAGGGAGAGTGAGGAGACTTCAGTGCAGAAGAAGGAAGTGACCTGACTCACTGCGTGGGAAGGGCAGGTTGAACCTGCAGAAGCATGGGGACTACTGATGAACCCGAACCCAGAGGCCTCCAGAGAGATGCACCAGTGGAACAGAGCAGTGAACACAGTGGACTGCGGTGGGTGGTGAGTTACTCGGGTTCAGATGTCCCCACAAGAGGGCGTTTGGCTGGTAGCCATTTTGGAGAGGGCCCACCTGAGCTTGGAACTCAGGGCAGCTGCAGGCTGGCTCTATCAGGGTGAGGCAGAACCAAGTTCAAGTCAGCAGGAAGTCAAGGACCCAAGATCAAGCTGGCGGGGCACACGGGGTGTTGCATGCTGAACAAAATAGGTTCCAGACTCATACCCAGAAACGAGTCTCAGCTTCAGAACTAAATGTGCAAGTTCTCTGGGACTATCCAATAACCCAGCACAAAGCCATGGCTGGCTTCTTAGGGTTAATCAACATGGATCTGGACTCTGTTTACCCACTTTGTCTACCAGTGACAGCAGAGATATGTCTTGAAGTGGATTTTTTTTTCCTTTCTTGTTGTTCTGTTTTCTTTTTTGCTTGATTACTATTGTTTTTATATGTTTGAATACTGTTTCTAGTTTTTTGTTGTTTGTATTTCTTCCATCTCTTTCCCTCTGGACTTCTTCACCAGTTTTCCCAAGTTTGTGGAATCTTCCTTTGTTCTTTAGCCTTTCATCTAATCTCTTCTTCTCCTATTTCTCTATTTTATTTATTTATTTTTTTAGTACCAGGGATCGAACTCAGGAGCTTTCACTTGCGAGGTAGGCGTGATGCCACTGAGCTAAATTTCCCAGCCCTATTTCTCTATTTTAACCCCCCTAACACCTTTTAAAATTCTCCCCTGAGGGTAAAATACCATACCGAGGGCACATTTACTGTATATAATTTTCTGGTTGGGTTTAGGATTTGTTATATAACCACAAATCTAGTTCATATGGTTAAAGGTGGCAAATTAATAGTTACCACAATTAGTCATTTTCTAGGCTGTGTTTGATGGTATTGTTATTGCTGATTGTACTATTTTAGCCAAGGTGGTATAATGGTTCTGAACTGTTGTTCTTCCTGGATTGCTTAAGGGGCATAGACAATTCTATAGCACAATACCAAAGAACCAGAGACTAGGCCAAATAGTCAGCAACTTCTCATCCCTAAGAAATTGAAGAGGTAGGGTCCTGCAACTAACTCAAAACCTAAAAGCCAGCTACACCTGAAAGACATCACTGAGAAGTAAATTGCAACAATGCAATTCAGAAGCACCAACCCAGAAACTAAAAAGAGAGAGGTGGGGGGAGAGAAAACACTTAACGAAGATTCAACGCCAGAAACAAAGGAATTTCTTTTTCACACTTCTAAGGCTGGGAGTCCAAGGTCAAGGAGCTGCATCTATAAAGGGGTTTTCTGTGTCCCAACCTGGCAGGAGAGCAGGGCATGGTGACCCACACCTAAAATCCCAGCACTGGGGAGGCTGAGGCAGGGTGTTGCTCACTAAATTGCCAAAATGCCTAGCTTTGGTGTTAGGCCAGACAGTGTGATCCTGAGAGGGTAGTTTTTGAAGCCAAAGGTGCAGGGGAAACTCCAGAGGGTTGGAGAATTCAGGAACATGGGTCATCTGAGGAAAGCTCAACGGGTGAGCAAGATCTGCCCAAGAGAGAAGCCATGAGCTACAATCACCGGAAATGCCGTAGGGGTGGAGCCACCCAAGCCCTTTGGAGTTCACATCTTGCCTCCAATGCTGGACATGGAACTACAGGACTTAATCCTGGATTTTAACTGCTGGATTTTGGGATTTGCTTTAGTTTCACTCCTTTGTATCTCCCTATTTGTATATTTTGGAATGGGAATGTTTACCTTGTGCCACTGCATGTTGACAGTGTTTAACCTTCTTTTCATTTGTACAAGGGCTGGCAGCTAAGAGTGTGCCTTAAATCTCAGAGGAGACTTTGGACTTGGACTTTTTAGCAATGATAAAACTAATAGGACTTTGGCAACTCTTGGAGATGGTCTAAATGCTTTTCTTTTTTGGTACTGGGGATTGAACTCCGGTCCTTGCGCTTGTGAGGTAGGTACTCGAACCACTGAGCTAAATCCCTGGCTAAATGCCTTTTGTGCAAAGGGACGTGCAAGAGCTTTCTGGGGGGTCAGGGGTGAAACGTTATGGCTTGTGTCTAAATGCTCCCCCAGTCATAGGTGGGGCTTTTCAGAGGTGGCTGGATCTAGCGTGTGATGCTGGGATCAGGGTGTGATTACTAAATTCGTCCACTGATTGGTTTGACATAGTTCTGGGTAGGACTAAGGGTGCACCACTTGGGTGTGAATACTACCCTCCTTGGATGGAATATAAGGGACAGAAAAAGGGCTGCTGTGCTCGCTGCTTTTCACTTGCTGTTCTGCTGCCTTCTGCCTTCCATGGACTGCTTCTCCTCTGCTATGCCGCCCTGCCTTGGAGCCAGCCAACTGTGAACTGAAACCTCTACAAACTGAGCCAAAATATGTCAAGAACCATTCTATATATATTTTTTGGAAATGTCATTTCATAATCAAATTATGATTAGGACTAAGGCCCAATGTCTTTTTGGTTTTTGGTATGAGGGATCGAACTTGGGACCTTGTACTTGCAAGGCAGGCGTGGTGCCACTAAGCTAAATCCCCAGCAGCCCAATGTCTTGACTGGGAGCCAGCTATGGCATGTGGGAGCTTAACTTCACTTTATCCTCAGTCACAAACTGAGGCCTCAATGGTCCCACGAAACTGTGATGCTCAAGGGTAAGAGTACATCAGCTGAAGACATCCTGGTTCTTTCAGAATGCAATAGTAAAAGAGAGGCAGGAGGGAGAGAGAGAGAGAGAGAGAGAGAGAGAGAGAGAGAGAGAGAGGGAGGGAGGGAGGGAGATTTTTCACCTGGGGGAAGGTGCACCTATTGTAAAGATGCTTTGCCCATCTCACTGTCCTCATCAACCTAAGATCCTCAACATAGGATTACCACCACCCTCCAAGTCACCTGATACTCCCTCCAATTACTGTGCGCACCCAATAAATCGTGGCTAGCTCAGAGTGTCTGTTTTTGCCCACTCTGAGGCACTGACCTCCCAGTCCCCCATATATTACAAAACTATGTCTTTATTGTCTTTCTTTAATCCTTGCCTCCCCTCTTTCTAGGAAGTTCAGAAGATTTATCAGCCTCTGGTAAAAAAATAAACCTTTCTTTCCTTAACTATGGGTCTTGGGTATTTTGTCAGCAACAAGAAAAATCAAGACACTTGGTTTGAACCTTCAATCTTCCTGCCTCAGCCTCCCAGTGCTGGGACTACAGGCGTGTGCCACCATGTTTTGTGTGAAGTTTTATTGTACAGGACACAAACCAGCACTTTCAAGCAAACAGACACAGTGAGGGAGTTCTGGGAGAGCCCTGACTGCAGAACTGCTATGTCCTCTCCTCACAAAATCAGGCTGTCACTTGGTATGCTCACCAGCTAGGAAGCTGCACTGAGCTATGTCCGGAGTTGTGGTCAGACTTTATAACAGTGTTTAACTCACTGTCTGAAGAATGTTCCACCTTCCCTCCTGGCCTCAAAACTCCTGCCACATGGCCGTGTGCACAGTGTGACTGCTCCCTATCCTGCAGCTAGTGTAGTCCACTGAGTCACCTCACCCACAGACGCTACCCAGGAGCCTCATTCCTAGTAGACTAGGAATTCTAAGGATTTAGTCTCCCTCGAAGACCAATTCCTCGCTCTAAACACGCACTATGGCCAGTTTCCCCCCAGCTGGCCCATCTAGCTCTCACTGAGCTCCGGCCCAACCTTTTATCCTGAAATCGACAATCACCGCCCAGAGTCCCTGGCCCTTAGTCATTCTGCTCCTCTGCTTTCTCTCAACTTCACCTATGAACAAGAGCCTTCTCCAGAGAGCATGCTACAGTGAGAAACTGACAATGCTATCACGATGTCATCTGAATTTGCAATCATTCTGTCTCAGCTTCCCAGAGTGCTGAGCCTTACAGGCTTGAGCTTGCCACTGCCGGCTCTGGCCTTTTCTTTTTTCTTTTTGGTACCATTGATCGAACTCGGGGGCCTTGTGCTTGCAAGGCAGCGGCGGAGCCACTGAGCTAAATCCCCGGCCCGCTTACGCGTTTTCTAAAGAGGCATTTGATGTAGGTTTGCCTGGGTGAGCTAAATCATACGGTCCGGAGCATTTCTGTGCCGAGCTGGCCAGCTACCTCGCGTGCTGCAGAATGGCTGGTTCTTAGCCCAGTCTCCCTGCGTCCCAAGACGGTGGCGTCAAGAGCACACTCGGAAGTGCTGGCTCCCAACGCTCCCGACAGGCTTCCGCGCCCCCCCGGAAGTGGTTGCTCCCCACGTTCCCGACAGGCTCTGCGTCCCGGAAGTACATGCTCCACTGTTCGCGGCAGGTCCAGTGCAGATGGATCGATCCCATAGCCCCAGCCCGACCCTCGGACACCTCGCCCCCGCCGCGTCTCCTTCATCCTCAGTGACCCTGGCGCAGGTGATACAGCTGATGCAGCGAGGTCAGGAGCTCCCGGGGCTGGAGAAGCGCCACATCAAGGCCACCCACGGCGACCCCACAGCGTCCCGGCTCCCGCGGAGGCCCAAACCCTGGGAGGCCGCCGCCTCGCCGCCCTGGGCTCCTGAGGCCTCCGGCCCTGGGCGGCTAAGATTGGACGACAATGCCCGCACTGACCTGTGACCCTGGAAAGCGGCCACTCCATCTTTTACGGATTCGTCCTGCCCAGATTCCGCTGGACCTACCCTTATGGAGTCTCCATGGGGCTGCCCACTACTTGGGATTCTGGACCAGATTCTTAGTTAAAAATAAAACCCCACTCCACCAGTCAAGTATCTGCCTTGCGTCTGTCTTCAAAATTGTACTAAGCAGGGGGAGCTGGGGTTCATCCTTCAGCAATGAAAACGTGCGACAGAGGCTACACGGACACTGCCCGACCCCCAGGGATTAGTAACGTGGGAACATCAGTTTACACCAGGCCAGCTTGTTCCGGTGCTGGTGACAAAAGGAACCTGGGATCCAAGTGGCCAGACGGGGTGAAAGGAAAGTTTGATATTAAAATTTGCCCCCCGGCCAGGCGGGGTGACGCACGACTTTAATCCCAGTACTCAGATCACTGTGAGTTCGAGACCAGCCTGGACTAGTGAGTTCCAGGTCAGCCTCAACTACATACAAGTGAGATCCTGTCTCAAAAAAAAAAAAAAAAAAAAAAAATTGGCCCCCAGATGACTCCAGATCTATGAAATACCTGGCGCTAACCAATTGCAAAAGCCTTTAGGAAACCTGGCTTTTGGAAACAGGCAAAAGGCTGGGCTCACAGCAGAGGAAAAGCTCCCAAGACCACCTTCTGATGGCAGTCTGTACGGGCCACCTACACTGCTTTCGTGATGAAATCTAGCACACACCTCGTGTGGGTGCCCTGAAAAGCCCGTTGGCATGGCTGTCTGATCACCCAGCATTTTAAAGTACATGATTTTTAAAAAATAACCTTTTACATAGAACTTTTAAGTTAAAAATAATTTTAATTGCCCTTTAGTTTTTGAGACAGGGTAGTCTTCAACTCAGCAATCCTCCTGCCTCAGCTATGCTGTTTTAAATGGCCTTTTAAATAAATCACCATTAGAGGGAGACAAGCTAGAGGACAAGCTTGCTCTTTACAAGCAAGAGTGGACAGTTTTCTATTTTGTGCTAGGGATGAAACTCAGGACCTCTGTGATCACCAAGTATCCTATACTGAGCTACAGCCCCAGTCCTCTTCCCTTATTTAGTAAGATGGATCCGGGATAGAAACCCAACTTCCATACCTACACTTTTACCATGACTTATTGGAATATCAATATGATGTGATTTCATAATAAAGGCAATCTAACATCTATTCCTGGCAGGTTAACTATGGAACCAACCCACTTACTGACCTCATAATCTGGCAGGTGGTAATGCACTGTTAGCCCTCCAACTGTTTCACAGCCAGGCTGAGGGCCAAGAGGCAACACTGTAGCAAGGCTGTTCTGAAAAGATCAGGGAGCATAATAACTGAACAAGTTTTCAGTATAGCCCAGGCCTGTCTGGTACCTCTTCACCAACTGCTCAGATTGGTGAGCTGTGGCCAGTGAGGGAGAACAGATGACACTGGTGAAAACCACCCAGAGCCAGGCGTGGTGGCGCATGCCTGTAATCCCAGCACTTGGGAGGCTGAGGCAGGAGGATCGCTGTGAGTTCAAGACCAGCCTGGGCTACAGAGTGAGTTCCAGGTCAGTCTCAACTACATAGTGAGACCCTGTCTCAAAAAAACCCCAAAACAACAAAACAAACAACCCCCCCACCGCCGAAAACCACCCAGCATCACATACCCTGGGATCTAGGTGACATTTTTACAGTTCTCAGCCATTTTCCAGACAGGCAGTGAAAGGAAGGTCTGATGATAAAATCTGGCCCCACAAAGACTTCAGAGATCTATGAAATGAAATACCCAGCAGCAACTTGTAGCAGTAAGGACTTTTCAGATTCATATTCCCAGAACCCTTGTTCCTGGTATATTCCATCATTATCAGGACAAAGTCCAATTCTTTTGAGTCCAAAATATTCAAGTAAAAGATCCAACCAAATACCCTGCCTGCCCACAGCCTAAAAAGCTAATTTCATCAATGCCAAACCAAGAACATAATAGGCTTTTCCTGCCTGGATTTTAAGGAGACAATCATCAGGGAAACCTGGAAATTACACCCTAAAGTCCTTGAAAAACAAGGTGGGCATTTCTCAGTTACAGATTTCTCAGTTGCAGAAGGCAACACAATGTAACGAAGCTAACAGGAAGCACCCAACTGGCTTGGTAACCTCCGGTCTTCTACAGGACATAACCAGACAATCAGCTAGCTCAGGGCCTGGGTGACCAACACCAACAGAAACTGGGCTTCTTTATACATGATGCTCAGGTCCTGAAAGAGCACTCCAGGACACCGTGAAATCCCCACCAAACTCCAGTGAATGTCTGTCTTCTGGGAACTGTGAGTTAAGAGAGAAGAAGCCAAGTACAAGGGCCACTTCAGCCAGGCAGGCAGTCTGAGACCTCACAAAGCTGGAGCACGGACTCAAGACAGAGACATGTGAACACTCGCTTTTGTGATCTTTGTAACTATATTTCAAGTCTTTGAAAGAAAGCCCTGGAAGCCCAGATGCAAGTTCACCTCTGGGCTGGGTGCACTGCTACAAGTCACAGGGAGCCTCATTATCTGTGGTCAGGTTATTCATTCACTGACACCAAACCCCAGGGCAGAAGATGCAACAAAACAGGACTCCTTTCCCCACGACATGTGCTGATTTCAGTGGCAGTGGTGGCGAAAGGACGGACAATGTGGAAAGCAATGGAACTTTTCTGTGAAACTGGGCAGTGATGAGAGGTGCCTGCCGTGACCATAACCTGCCACCTCCCGGACTGCTTCCTTCCAGTCTCTGAAGGCAGAAAATCCTCTTCTCTGAAGATACTTGGTAACAGTTCCAAAAAACAAAAACACATGCTTCCAAGGAATTGTGCTTTGATATTCTGAGGAAGAAAGAGCACAACTGCATCAATGTAATCTCATCACAATCTGCCACCCAAGAGAAATAGCAGCAGCAATAAAAAGCAATTTCAAAATTCAGAGTCCTTCAACAAAATACATAGATGACTTGGGTGTTAAAATTCTTTTTAAATTTATTTCTGTTCTACCTTTCCTATTATTTCTGTTCTGCCTTTCCTATCCTCAGGTAAACAACCACAGTAATACAGATGTGTTCTAGTCTGTAACCTGCGGGGAATTGCACCTGGCCTCGGCCATGTTAGATGAGTGTTCTACCACTGCAACCCCACCAGCTCTGCCCCTGCACCTCTTTACAGTACCCAGAGCCCATGTCTTTACCCACCAAACTGGCAAACACCCACCTCCTCTTTCCTCCCAACCTCCCATTTACTCTCATGTAGTGGTAAATACATTAAAAACTTTTTCCCGCCACTGCTGGGGACTAAAGTCAGAGTCTTTCCTAGGCTAGGCAAGTACTGCACCACTAACTATATCCTGGCCTACGAAAGAACTTTTAAGGGACAAAGTGCAGCCCATGAAAGGCTGGATCAAGGACAGCGTTCGGCCCTAGCTCACCTGGAACTAATTCAGCTGGCGGATGAGCTGGTTGATGCGTTCGCCCCGATAGCCAGGTGAGCCCATCTCCTTGAGGAAGCCCACCCTGTTCTTGGTAGCGTGCCGGGCCACAGAGAGGTGGAAAGGGCACAAGAAGCAGGAGATTGCCTGGAAATGCTTCCCCGGAAAGGCCATTTCATGAATGAGGTCTTCCAGGCAAATCACACCAAACTTGCCTAAGAGACACAAAGGCACAGATTCCTTTATTCTCTATCTGTGCAGCGTACACTGAGAAGCTTCTGGGGACCCAACAAGAATATACCCTGGTTCCCACACCAGCACCAGCCAAGACCCTTGCTTTCTGGCCCAGCTGATCCCTCAGTGAGGCACTCACCCAGGTGCTCTTCGATCACGGTGTTGTCCGTCAGAGGGAAGGTCTTGTCCTTGACCTTTGCCTGTCCACGTTTCAAGATGAGTTCCCGGACAGACTTCAGATTTGGAAATCTACGTGACGCAGAGGCAAGCACAGCCTTAGGTGGCACCCGATACACTGCCACGAGTCACTCACTCAGTCCTGTGGCCTGGTTAAGAAAAGGAGGGAGGGTTCTCCTCCCCACCTCACTCTCAACCTGGGTGTGTTCTGCACCCCCTTTCCAGGTCAGGATACACATGTGCAGGTGGGGATTAAAACAGCAGCCCTGGCTACATATCTAGACATTTATTTGTATGGGTGAGTGTTCACAGGCAAAACAATTTACTCCCCAGATACAATAAAAACCATATCCTGCTCTTGCTTTGACAGCACAGTACTATAAAATCATATCCTGGCTTCCAATACACTCAAGAGGGTACAGAAGTGGGCTAGGGATTTAGCTCAGTGGTGCCACACCTGCCTTTCATGTATAAGGTCCTGAGTTCAATCCACAGTACTGGGGGGGAAAAAGAGGAGGGGGTACAGAAGCTGGGTATTAAACCCAAGGCTCTGTTGGGCTTTAATGCTTGAGGGATAGTAACTACTCTTATATGAGCACTGCTACTGGCTGGATTTCAAGAACCCAAGCTGGCAACTGAACAAGCCACGGCACGACACTGTTCAGTTGACATTAGCATCACTGATCCTCCCCTGCTAGCCCTGCACCCCAAGGGTCCTGACTTCTGGGCAACGTGGTCACATGTCCAATGGAGCACACAGGTCTGAGTGCACACAAGCCATACGCACTGTGAATGCACATGGAAAAACTTACCCCCAGGTCACATAAGGTTCCACGACACGAAGCATTTTGAGGGTGTGTGGGGTGACTTTAACAAAGACACCACTGAACAGCTTCTTCAGGCGAAGTCTTGCGATGGTATTCTGTACCAGTAAACTTGACCCGTTAATTCTGGAACAAACAGGAAGGTAAGTTAGGCCCTCTCTAGTTTATGGCAGTCTAGCAAGCACCTAGGAAATGTGTTCCATTCCACTGGGCGAGGAGGGAGAAAAACATGCCACATCTTAAAGAGCTGTTTAGTGGGTGGCAGTTTGTAAATGTGCCATCTTCCCCTGATGTGAAGCAATGCCAATGGGAGGACAGCCCCTGAATTTGTGGGAAGTGATAGCTACTAAAGATTTTAAGCAAGAGAAACACCACATTTTTTTTTGATAATCACTGAATGGAGCTGATAGAAAAGATCTGAGACTGAATCAGAGGCAGGAAAATCTAGTTAGAAAACCAATATAGTACAATAGTCCAGGAAGGACATTACAGTCTGAGGAATAAGGGTTAAAAAGGAAAAAATTTCCAAGTATTTCAAACTCAAGTTTCATATCAAGAATCACAGTTGCATGTGAATGGGGACAGGTCGGCAAAGTACCACTGAACACGGAAATTTCTTCCCAGTACTGATATGCTCCACCCATTGTGCCTTGTTTGAGTTCCTAGAAAGACGCCTCAATTTCTCTACTTCAATACTTAACCTAGAAAGCCACCTCCTGGCCCCTCTGAACTCCTTTCCATGCAAGTCCATCTGCCTAAAGTCAGTCTCCCTAACTCTGCAGAGGGAAACTGTTATGCTCAACTCTGAACCCCTAACAGTGGCTTAGGCCCTTCTATCTCTTTCCCCAGAAAAGGTGCAAAGCTTAATTGAAAGTTCATTCAGCTGAGAAGACCCACCCAGGGGAAAGATTTCACTCAGGTGAACTGAAAGACACCGGTACTTTACCTTTGGAGGCGGACAACAAAGGCCAAGGAATGTTTATCGGGTGCTTCCAAAGCTCGAGGTTTCACTTTTAGTCGTTTCACTCGTACCTGGTCACGTCGCTGATGCCAGGAATCATGCAGGAATGATTCCAGTCGCTTAAATCTGATCTCTTTTACCTTTCTCTTTTGTAGAAAAGAGAGACCACCATCACTACTGTACTTTGCATTTACACTCATTTTTTTCCCTTTTGTTATACTGGGGATTAAACCCAGGGCCTTTGTACTGAGCTACACCCCCAGCCCTATTTATTTTTTATTCAGACAGGATATCACTAAGCTGCTGGCATTATAGCCATGCATCATAATGTTGGGCCCTCTGTTTGACACTGTTTGTTCCACAATAGTAATTCAGGAGTCAGCCTATTTCCATGTTTTGCAAAGGGGAGCAAATAAACATACTCTGTTCTTATAGGGAAAAGTAAGAAAACAAGTAAAGGCCGAGAAAACTTGGACCAGGTGTGGTGGTGCACGCTGGTAAAGTCAGCAGTCTGAAAGAGGAGGAGGAGACCGTTAGAAAGTTGAGGCCAGCCTGGAACACACAGTGAGTTCACCGCCGGCATAAACTGCATAGCGAGACTCTGTCTTAAAAAAAAAAAAAAAAAAAGTAAAGAAAACTTGAAAATTACTGGCAAGATTCTTTTTTTGTACCAGGAATCAACTCTGGGCCTTGGTGCTTGCCAAGCAGCCGCTGCACCACTCAGCTACATCCCCGGTGAAAAGTTTCTGAGGTATAAACAATTTGCTAGGTAAAATTCATCCAACACTAATTCTAACACGTTCTCCCAGTTCCCCGCATTACCTCTTTCTTTGCCAAAAGCGCCTGCTTTGCCTGGGTGGCTTTGAGGGCTTGATAAGCCTTCCTCTTTTTCAGGAGATTTTCTGGAACCAAGGGGATCTTTTTTCTTTGTCTGATACAGAAAATCAAGATCAGCAATAATACGACTTAAGCAACGAAGATTCAATGCCTTTCCAAACCAATTCAGGATCCTGGAATACGGGGGACACCGTCTTCAACACGGACCCTTAATATTCACTATCCTCAAAGTCTTAAAAAGACATTGACTAGGGCGTCGTGGTTCACGCCTGTAATTTCAGCACTCTGGAGGGTGAGGCAGGAGGGCTGGCAGAGAGTTCGAGGTCAGCCTGGATCACAGTTCGACACCAGCCTGCTTTACTGAGCGACACTGTCTCAAAAACGAGGCCACGAAACCCTAGCTCTCTGGTTCGCATACATCAATAGCTTTTACTGCTACAATTTTCCAGACGCTAACACCTGTGAGATCCAGTAAAGCCTTGTGGCGTTGGTACAAGTGCAGGGTGAATACTGAAAGTCAGGCTGTATGACCCCCCGACTCTTGGTACTTTCCCGGAACTCTAAACAACTCTCTCCTCTGTACCTGTTTTCTTTTCTTTTTTAAAAAAAGCTTTTATTTAAGAAAAAAACCTCAGTGCCTCTGTACCTGTTTTCTTAACCGCCGCCTGTCTCGACTCTCGAGGTAACACGAATTTGACGGCGGCCCTCTCCGTTTGTCCCAGCCCTACCGTCCCTCACTCTACATGGCGACCCTCTGTAACCTAGGGCCTTTCCTTTTCTCTTCCTACAACCCGCATCTATCCTCCTTTTCTACCACCAAAGCACTAAACACCAAGGATGGCATCGGATACTCAAGGTCCCACTCCACGGAGTCAAACCCTCAAAACTTACTCTTCCGCCATCTTTCCAGAGCTGAAGCTACTGCTCATGCGCAGGCCCACCCCTTGGGGAAGAGAGGACTCGCTCTGTGTTTACTTGATCATCGAGACGGTTACTCTAGCTCACACTGGATGACTCTGACAGCCGACGCCCATTTAGCAACTGTGAGCCTCTGAGAGGTCTTGCTAACCATATGATTCCTGCCAAAAATGACCCAAAGCTTCTTTCGCACCCCTCTTAACGCCTCTGCCATTTTCAAAATCAAGTTCTTTTCATTGAAGGTACATTCTCGAACCGCTGGAGGTTTGGCTGTGAATAAAACGCTTCCTGCAATGCACCACTGCCTCCGCTCTCGCGCCGCACTTCCGGCTTGCGCTGTATTGCGCTGCTCTGCAAAGGGCAACCAGCAACCTGCGGCAGTGTATTCGCTGGGCAGGGAGATCTGAGGTCCTGGCTTTGGCTCCTACCTATGGTGGAGGTGATTGCAGACTGCTTGGGGTGGTAAAGCAGGAGTGGGTGCAGTGTCACATGCCTGTCATCTCAGCTCTGAGAAGCTGAGACAGGAGGATCGATGCAAGTTTGAGTCCAGCTTGAGCAATTTAGCAATTTAGTGAGACCCTGTTCCAGAATAAAAAGAGATTGGGGATGTAGCTCAGTGCAAAGTGGTAGAAAACAGTGTAGCCCTGATTCTGTTGCCTTCGCTCCTTTCTTGGGTCTGTGACCGATATTTATTCCCTCTCCACCTCGGTTTCCTTACCCATGGGATGAGCAGCAGCGATCCGAGGACTAGGTGAAATTACGTTAAGCGTGGAAGACAGCGCCTGACGCTAAGTGGTCAACACTATGCTGGTCACCATCACTGCTGGACCCGTGACTAGAAATATGCCTCACATCTCAGAGTTCACCTTGTGTGGCCCTCACTGCTTGCTGTATGCTCCCATCTGTCCTAGCGGATGTCCCGAGAATCACCTCAAGTCCTGTCATCCTTGGAAACCTCCATAGCATTCAAGGGTGTAGGAGTCACCTGAGGATGCCTTTAAAATGCAAATGTATAAAGTCTTGCTTGGTAGCAAGTAGTCTTACACTGAGATACATCCCCAGCCCTTTGAAAAAAATTTAGAGCCAGTTATATTTTCCTGTAACCCTTGCACTCAGGAAGCTGAGGCAGGAAGATGGCCTCAAGTTCAATGCCAGCCTGGGCTACATAGTTCAAGGCCAGCATGGACTATGTAGACCCTTTTTCTCAATCACCAATCAACCAATTAAACAATATTAAAAATTTTTGAGACAGCATCTTGTTAAATTGCCCAAACTGGCCTAGAATTTGAGATGCTCCTGCCTCTGGCTCTAAAGTAGCTGGGACTACCTGTGTGCCACCACAGGTTATATTCTGCATTTTTTTTTTTTTTCAGTGCCAGGGATGGAACTCGGGACCTTGCGCTAGCAAGGCAGGGGTGGAACCTCTGAGCTAAATCCCTGGCCCCTTATTCTGCTTTTTTTTTTTTTTTTTTTTGGTTTTTTGAGACAGGGTCTCACTATGTAGTTGAGACTGATCTGGAACTCACTAGGTAGCCCAGGCTGGTCTCGAACTCACAGTGATCCTCCTGCCTCAGCCTCCCAAGTGCTGAGATTACAGGTGTGCTCCACCATGCCTGGCCATTCAGCATTTTTAACAAGCTTCACAGATCAGTGCTGCTAGTCTGTTGACCACACTTTTTTTTTTTGTACCAGGTATCAAACTTGGGTCCTTTCACTTGTGAGGCAGGCGGTGGAACTACTGAGCTAAATCCCTGGCTTTGTTTTGTTTTTTGAGACAGGCTCTTGCTATACTGGCCTTGAACTTGTGTAGCCCAAGCTGGCCTCAAACTTGCAGTGACCCTCTGGCCTCAGCCTCCTCAGTGCTGGGATTGCAGGTGTGCACCACCACGCCCACGTGGACCACACTTTGAATAGCAAGGGTCGTGAGCAGCGTCTTTCCTTTCTCTGAATGCTTCTCTTAGGGTGTAAGCAAGAGCTACTGGGCAGGTGCTTGGTGCGCTGCCTTAGTCCCAGCTGCTGAGGAGGCTGGTGTAGGAGGAATGCTTGAGCCAGGGGGTTCAGACCATCCTGGGCAACATAGAAACTGAGTCTCAAAGAAAAAAAAATAACAAAAAGAATTGGGCTGGGGTGTGGTTCGGTGACAGATCCCTTGTGCAAGGCCTGTGTTCAGCTCAACCCCAGCCAAAAAAGAAACAGAGAGAAGAAGAGGGGACGGGAGACTTTTTTGAGTACGTTCTTGTTTTTTGGTTATACCTTGCTCTTCACTCATCCTGAGTTTCCTTCCAGTTTCTCAATGTTGGCACTATTGACATTTGGATCCAAACAATCCTTTATTCATAGGGGGGAGGTGTCGTGGGCATTGTAGGCTCTTTAGTAGCACCCCTGGGTTATCACTTCTTAGATGGCAGTAACACCTCTTCTCCTGCTGAGATTATCACAGATTCCTCTATCATTGCTGTCTAGTACAGTGTATTTGCTTATCCTAAAGGTCCCAGGCAATGCCATTTTTTGACAGCACCTAAAGTCACTCTTGCACTTTGTCCCATGCCTTGGGCTTGCTGTTTCTCTACCCAGGATGAGTGCTCTTTGACTTTTTTTTTTTGTACCAGGGATCGAACTCAGGACCTAGTGCTTGTAAGGCAGGCAGTGGTACCACTGAGATAAATCCCTGCCCCCTTTTTTAGATAAGGTCTCGTTATGTAGTTCAGGCTGGACTTCAACTCACTCTGTAGCGCAGGCTGGCCCTAAACTCACAGCCATCTCCTGCCTCAGCCTCCCGAGTGTGGAGATTATAGGTGTGTGCCACCATGCCCCATGTTGTGTGCTCTTTGAGGACAGGGGACTTATACTCCCTCTGTATCTTCTGCAACACCTCTTACAGGGAGGGCCCGTGGGGTTTGTTAAATATCCAAGAGTTGATCTGGTGACACGGCATCACTGTGTGATTTTGAAACTTGAGCAAGGTAAGGATGGAAGAAAGTAGAAAGGCGGGGGATGGACTGGGCTGCTTATGCTCAGATAAAGGTGAAGAGGAAAAATGTGTAGAGTCTTAGCCAGTGACCTGAGGCTCATTCTCTTTCCACACACCACACCATACACCTTACTTTGGAGGCCAAAGAGAGGGTTCCCAAAATGCAAGAGCCATTCAAGAGCAAACAAGCGACAAAAGTAAATCAGTATTTTGTATCTTTCCCTGCCTGGGAATAAAAGGTAGATTCTGCCCTCCTGTCCTATTCAGGGAGGAGGAATTTCAGGGCTGTTAACCACATTCCCAGTGGAAGGGGACTTGGGAGAAGATACAGGAAATGGTTTTCTCAGCCAGCAGATGGTGCTAGGCGAGCGCTGATTCTCCGCACAAAGCTGGCGCTGCACCAGGCTGATGGGGGCGCGGACCGGGATAGAGTTCTTTGCAACCAAGAACTTGTGCACTCACTGGATGTTTTTACTGAACACTGACCACATGACATGTAGGTTTTCCCCCTAAATGAGGTTACTGAATGAGAATGTGGCAATGGCTGTCTAGAACCTTAAATTTATCTTTTTAAAGTCTGTCCTCGTAGGCTGTTCTTTTTGTTGTTGTTGTTTTCTGAGACAGGGTCTATGTAGCCCAGGCTGGCCTCAAACTCACAAGTGATCCTCCCGCCTCAGCCTCCCAAGTGCTGGGGAATACAGGCGTGCGCCACCACACCTGGCTTTCAGTTCTCCTCCTGGCCATGTCCAGCTTTAGGGGATGGTTGGATACCTCATGGATGACCATGCAGTTGTGTGCAGAGACACAGGGCTTGAAGTCCTGAAACCTCATGGACGGACAGCCTTCCTTTTTAGGGCTGGCCAACCATCACTTCCATTTCCTGACAGTAACCCATCTCTCTTGGGGATTGGTCTTTCCCTCTTGTGTACAACTTTGGAGGTGGAACATCGATTCCAAATGCTTGCCCTCTCAAAACTTAACGTGGTATGCGCGCGTGTGAGCACAGTGCTGGAGATTGAACCCAAGGCCTTATGTATGCTAGGGAAGCACTCTACCATTGAGTTACACACATGACCTTTTTTCTTTAAATTTTATTTTGAGATAAGGTCTTGCCCAAAATGGCCTGGAATTTGCAGTCCTCCTCAGACTTCAGAGTGCTGGGATTACAGGTGTTTGCCATTGCACTAAGCCCAGGATTTAAGCATCAGGGGTCTGTAAGGTCTTTTCAACACTTTTCACCTCCCAGTGGGAGAGAACATGAGATTTTTTTTTTTGCAGTCCTCCTCAGACTTCAGAGTGCTGGGATTACAGGTGTTTGCCATTGCACTAAGCCCAGGATTTAAGCATCAGGGGTCTGTAAGGTCTTTTCAACACTTTTCACCTCCCAGTGGGAGAGAACATGAGACTTTTTTTTTTTTTGTATCTGGGATCAAAGTTGGGTCCTTGCACTTGCGAGGCAGGCAGTGGAACCACTGAGCCCCTTCTTTGAGATTTTGAACTTGTTTTTCTTTTAAGACAAGTTTGTGCTATGTAGTTCGGATTGGCCTTGATCTCAATGGGTAGCCCAGGCTGGCCTACAATATGGGGCAATCCTCCTGCCTCAGCCTCCTCTGGAGTGCTGGGATTAGAGGTGTGTGCTACCACACCTGGCTGGGATTTTGAAACTTGAACACGGTAATGATGGAAGAAAATAGAAAGAGGCTGATTCTACAGAAATGGTGGCAGAATGTTTTCCCCATTCAGTTGCATCAAATATGTGAATCCCAAGAGAAGCATATTATATCTGAAATAAGCCTTAATGTGAGTTTTTAAAAGTTTATCCTTTAGTTTTATCCTTGTCCCTACAGAAACAAAATAAATGATCTTTTCCAGTGATCCTCATTTCTCCTTCCTTAGCCAAGGATCGAGTGATAGGAGTAAGGAGGTCAGCCAGGACCAAACTTCCTCACTGGCCAATTTCATTTAATTGATCACTATTTAGAAAGACCAACCAGTTAAAATCCTGTCCCTTCACTGGGTAGGTTACTTTTTGGTAAACACATTTAACCAGAACTCTCACTGAACATTTAACCTCCCCCTTGTTCCTGGG